AAATGGTGTGTCTAAATCGCAATGCAGCCAGGCATAAGATATTACCTCGTCACTCCGTAGCGAGGAATCGCAGAAATAATTTAATTTTACGATGGGCAGAATTTAATGGCGTGTGTAATCCCACCAAAGCATTCTGCGTACCGCTCCACCAGCTACACACATCTGTGAATCTCCCGATTAAAACATCATTTCACGCGAAATGAATTTTTAAAATTTAATTTATAAGCATTTGAAGATGATATAACGGTTGATAAAAGAAGTTTAATTTGACGTACGCAATAGGTATATAAACTTTACCGATTTTCCTTCGTCTTCATTGAGGTAGGCAGTATAAAAATGTGACTCCCTCAAATAAATTTGCTGTTGATTTGGCGTGTAATTCTTTAAATGGTCTCTTTTACAGGTAATGAACTGTCAAAATGGAAACATCCGTTACACATTAAGTCCTGCTTCTACTATAAAATTTACCGTATGTTCTTGTAATCAAAGTTTTTTTGTTGAAACGAAGTTGTTGGTGAATTCTTAAATGGTTAAATGGAAAATGTACGATTTACAATTCGCAGAGCTTGAAAGAGCTTTAACAACCTACTATGGAATTAACGATCAATAAACGATCTTTTAGTTTTCTTTGGGGTTGGGTTCTGGTTGGTTATTCATCGTAATTTTCAATGAAATAATTAATCTTTTTTATAGGTCGTGGAAAACCGCACAACTTTACTCACAAAGTGTCCCATATGTGCAACCTTTTACATCTTTACCGTCGGTTCGTCCGCATTGGTGCATCTCTTTGAAAAATGCAATCTTGCACACAATTTGCACATGGCTACATTAAAAGTAACCGAAAACATTCAGGATACGATGTAGTCTATGCTGATGCTCGTGATTTATATGCAATACGCTTTGCTGGAATTAATACTAATAATTTCATTTCATTTCACTGCCAACACTACCAACAATGCTAACACTGTTAACACTAATACAACTAATTATGCTAATACTGCGAATATTATACTAATACTAACACTGCTGACCCTGCTAACACTGCTAATAGTGATAATACTGCTAATATTACGAATGATATCCTAATACTAATACTGCTAGCGCTGCCAACACTACCAACACTGTCTAACACTGCTAACACTGCCAAAGACTACTAACACTGCTAATGCTACTAACACTGATAATACTGTTAATACAACTAATTATGCTAATACTAATACTGCTAACACTGCCAACACTACCAACAATGCTAACACTGTTAACACTAATACTACTAATTATGCTAATACTACGAATATTATACTAATACTAACACTGCTGACCCTGCTAACACTGCTAATAGTGATAATACTGCTAATATTACGAATGATATCCTAATACTAATACTGCTAGCGCTGCCAACACTACCAACACTGTCTAACACTGCTAACACTGCCAAAGACTACTAACACTGCTAATGCTACTAACACTGATAATACTGTTAATACAACTAATTATGCTAATACTAATACTGCTAACACTGCCAACACTACCAACAATGCTAACACTGTTAACACTAATACTACTAATTATGCTAATACTACGAATATTATACTAATACTAACACTGCTGACCCTGCTAACACTGCTAATAGTGATAATACTGCTAATATTACGAATGATATCCTAATACTAATACTGCTAGCGCTGCCAACACTACCAACACTGTCTAACACTGCTAACACTGCCAAAGACTACTAACACTGCTAATGCTACTAACACTGATAATACTGTTAATACAACTAATTATGCTAATACTAATACTGCTAACACTGCCAACACTACCAACAATGCTAACACTGTTAACACTAATACTACTAATTATGCTAATACTACGAATATTATACTAATACTAACACTGCTAACCCTGCTAACCCTGCTAACACTGCTAATAGTGATAATATTGCTAATATTACGAATGATATCCTAATACTAATACTGCTAACACTGCCAACACTACCAACACTGTCTAACACTGCTAACACTGCCAACCACTACTAAGACTGCTAATGCTACTAACACTGATAATACTGCGAATACTACCATACTGCCATACTAATACTGCCAATACTACTAATTATGCTAATACTACGAATGTTATACTAATACTGCTAACCCTGCTAACTCTACTAATAGTTATAATACTGCTAATATTACTCTACCAATTCTGCTAATATTACGAATGATATACTAATACTAATACTAATACTGCTAACACTGCCAACACTACCAACACTGCTAATACTGATAATACTGCTAATACTGCTAATACTGCTAAATATGCTAATCCTGCTAATAATGCTAACACTGCCAACACTACTAACACTGCTAACACTAATAACACTGATAATACTGCTAATACTACTAATTATGCAAATACTGCGAATGTTATACTAATACTAATACTGCTAACCCTACTAACACTGCACTGATAATACTGCTAATATTACTCTACCAATTCAGCTAATATTACGAATGATATACTAATACTAATACTGCTAACACTACCAACACTGCTAACACTGATAATACTGCTAATAATGCTAACACTGCCAACACTACTAAAACTGATAATACTGCGAATACTACGAATGTTATACTAATACTAATACTGCTAACCCTCCTAACACTGCTAATAGGGATAATATTGCTAATACTACTCTACCAATTCTGCTAATATTACGAATGATATACTAATACTAATACTGCCAACATACTGCCACCGCTGCCAACACTACTAACACTGATAATACTGCTAATGTTTGAAATATTTATTTACACGTCCCGATAGTTTAAGGTCCAACGAAGTCTACAGACTTGTCTGTTGGTACCTTCTTATATACATTGTGTAATATTACATCTACTAATTATTTTAGCATTTTCTAGTGCCGTTGGAGTTCGGTGCAATATTGAAAACAAGACCTAAATACATTGCATGGATGAGTTTCGAATACTAAGTAGGTAAGTATTTTATTTTAACACTTCACACATTGTTTTTATGTTCGTAGCCAAATTTTCACTACTTTCTTGAATTCACTTAGGTAATAATGTAATTTGTTCTATGTAGTCCGGTAACGAATTAAAGAGTGATGAAATTATACACTTGATTGATACTACTAATAGTAATACTCCAAACACTGTTAACACTACTAACTGTGCCAACACTACTAACACTGATAATACTGCCACACTACTACTAATACTGCCAATACTACCATGATAATACTGCCAATACTACCATTACTAATACTGGTAAAACTGCCAACACTACTAACACTGATAATACCGCCAATACTACTAATTATGCTAATACTACTACTAATACTGCTAATACTACTACTAATACTGCTAATACTGCTAACACTGCCAACACTGCCAACACTACTAACACTGCTAACACTGATGATACTGTTAGTATTACTAATTCTGCTAATACTACGAATGTTTATTTTACATGTACAGACAGTTTAAGGTCTAACAAAGTCTGCTGGTGCCTTTTCATATATGATTACATTGTGTAATATTATTTCTACTTCCTTTAGCATTTTATAGCGCCGTTGGAGTTCGGTATAATATTGAAAACAAAATCTACATGCATTACATGGATGCGTTTCGTTTAATTGTAAGTATTTTATTTTATTTTAACACTTCACACATTGTCTCTATTTGTAGCCTGAATTCTTGAATTCACTTAATAATGTAATTTCTTGTATGGAGTCCGGACACGAATTAAAAAGTGATGGAATTATACACTTAATTGTTTTTTGTCCATATTTGTTGAAGAAGCATGGAACATTGTAAGATGATCTTGTTGTAATTTGTTGGTGTTAATGTGTCACAATTTATTATTAATTCTCGTTTATTTTTATTACTTTGTGTATTAATTTTATCATTTTATGTTGCAGGTTTTCCAATTTCTTTATGTGTACGCTTCTGCTGATCCACAAACTTGAATTCCATACCGTATATGCGTCACAAGGAGTGATTTATAAACTACAAAACGTTTTCGTAACTACGATTTTACTTAGCATGTATAAACATCCTCCCGTTCTTTTTAATTTACTACGAGATTTACTACATGTCATTTATGTGTGTGTCGTACTTTAATCATTTATCAATGTAGATTCGTAAGTATTGCTAATACTACTAATACTGCTAATACTACGAGTACTAATACTACTAATACCACTAATACCACTATAATACTACTAATTGTATTGAATTGTTTATTTCCAGTTTCGTACAGTTTACGGTCCAGCTAAGTAAGTGCTAATACTACTAATACGACTTACACCAGTAATAGGTACCACTAATACCACTATAATACTACTAATACTACTAATAATGCTATAATACTACTAATACGACTTATACCAGTAATACCACTAATACTACCACAAATATTCCCAATTTTACTAATACTACTAGTACTAATAATCCTAGTATAACTACTAACAGTACTACCACCACTAATACCACCAATAATACTACCAATACGACTAATGCTAATGCTACTGCTAATGCTAATACTAAAGCTAATGCCAAAGCTAATGCTAACGCAAACGCAAATGCTAATGCTAGTGCTGATGCTGATCCTAATGCTGATTCTGATACTGATGCTGCTGCTGCTGCTGCTGCTAATGATGATGATGATGACAATGATGATGATGATGATAATGGTCATGCTGATGCTGATGCTAATGCTAATGCTACCGCTAATGCTAATGCTAGTGCTAATGCTTAAGTTAAAGCTAATGCTAATGCTAATGCTTGTCTTATTGCTAATACGAATACTAACACTAACACTAATACTAATACTAACACTAATACTAAAACTAATACTAATTTTAATACTGACAATACAATACTGCTAATACTAATACTAACACTAACACTAACACTAATACTAATACTAACACTAATACTAAAACTAATACTAATTCTAATACTGACTGACAGTACAATACAAAGTGATTACAAATGGTTTGGAACTCCGGTATGTAGGTATCATTGTCGGTGATTTCCTTTTTATGTCTTACCAGATCTTTCCTTAATCTAATGACAGGCATCATCCATGGTTCAAAATCTAACATATTTGCTTGTAACATTACGGGTAGAGCTATATTCTGCCGTTCAAAATGTTCCCAAAATCTCACATAAGAAGGTCGCGTGATGGTTGGACGTGCTCGATATAAGACCAGGTCAGCGTTAAACCGCACATTATTTGGATGAAACGGTAATGACTTGATCTTTATAATATAATTAGGCATTAACTGCTTTCTTCTGTTGTCTAGGAGCGGAACTACCGATGCCCAATTTAGACTATCCGCAGGACTTGTAGGAAACGCCCCAATGCAATACCTTATAACAGCGTTGTACTCTGTTCTGTTCCCCTGTACTTTGAGCTCGAAAAGCAAATCTCCTGCCCTAACACGAAACCGTCTATTCAACAGGAAAGACTTAATTATGAGCGGTAAGTTGCCCCTTAGATTATTAGGTTGCGATGTTATGGTATCTGGCATTTTTAAATTTGAATTTTCCCCGCTTTTATGCATTTAATTTATGGAGAAAAAAATGCAAGTCACGCCACTGTAAACTGCAAATGTTTTATCAGTGCTCTAATTCAAATGGTGCAAGGACGAAGTTGGAGGGCAGCAGTGATATGCAGAGTGCTTGATGCGCAAATCTAGATAAATGTATCCTTTATTTCCCACTTTGTAATTCTCTCATTAGCATAGAATACAGGGTGCTTGTGGGAAATTTCCATGTAGCGTGGCTAATGTTAGCGTGCCTTCACGAGTTACCTACTGGGTGGATTTTCTTGCTTGTTAAGGGGAGGTTTTGGGAGTGGTACACAGGGTGTTAATTCAATTTAGGGCGTATTTGATACCTATGTATTTAAAGGGGAATTTTCCATACGCTTTCATTATAGAGATTCATATACAGGGTGGTTAGATAGGTTAGGGTATTTGGGAGATTTTGTGAAGGTGATTTCAGAATTCAAGTACGATATTGTGTATTATTCGTAGGTACCGTGACCCCTGGTGTGAATATTGGGATCCGTTACATAACAGTAGTAATAAATACGTTAATTTTCGTGGAAGACGGTGGCAATGGTGGCACAATATTTTAAGTATCGGTGTAAAATTATAATTACGATGGAAATGAATTCCCGAGGGAGATAGAATTCTCCGATGTTGTCGTGCAGGTGGGAAGCCGAGTTGAAATACTATGTATTACAATGTAAAGTTGTTAAATGCAAATTGGAAAAGAGATGAAAAAGTAAGCAAGTATATATCCTGGAAGGTTTTCAATAGCTCTTTTCCCTTCCTTGTAATCAATAAAGAGCCTAAGGCTATCTCGTGTGATTAAGAGAGGGCAACCCTGGTTTGAATTGGATTGTTTTTGTTCTAACGTTTTTAATTAAATTTCAAAACCCCCATTTTCTTTTGTTTTATTTATGCTGATCGATGCTTACAGCGACACACATACATCCTCAAGCAACTCGGTTTGGCAGGAGTTTTGAATTTTGTTTTTGAGTTGCACAGTCGTTTCTCGGCTGGACTTGAGTTACTACAAGCAGGGTTATAAATATTTTCCAGTATACCGTGCTTCCTTGTTGTACTCGTATCATGCGCTCCTATGATATCAAAGAAGACAGATGCAAGGTGTTCCATTTTTCGGAACGCTTCCTGGATGGCGTGTTCAAGAACAAGTAGATGGTCTGTGGTGGATCGATTTTCCCCATTTATGCATTTCGATGCTGCAGTTTTTGTTGCTGCATTTTCATGACTCATTTTTTGATGCTCAATTAAAAAGGCATTGCTGTCTACACTGGTACAATTTATTGCATGCAACTACACTGTTTTTTTTTATTTTTATACAGTGGTCGTCATTTATACTTATTCAAAAAATAGTGAACAAATAATTTGAACCTTAACCTAAATTCTTCCAACTTGAACGCTCCTCCGTAAAACTGTTTACTCGGACATAATATATATATTTTTTTATTATTATTTATACAGGCGTCGACTGCTAAGGCCATTTGCCTGTTTACACGGACTTCTATATTTCACAGTACTGTTATAACATGAAAATAATATCACGCCGGTAAGTATATACATCTTCAAATTTCTTTATATAGATCAATATTTTTTAAGTACATGAGCGTTTTTTTAAAATACTTCGTGCGCAAGGCATCTTGTATACTTGTTGGTATTGTAATGTTAGTTCTTGCTGCACTAAATTTTCTGCATTCTAGCAAAACATGCTTTACAGTCAATCGGACATTACAGGTATCGCAAATCGGCCGATTTTGTCCCGTAAGCAGATATTGATGGGTCAATTTAGTGTGACCAATTCGTAATCTCGTAAGCACCACTTGATCTCGCCTCTTCTGTTTACATTTTAGCGCAGAAACTCCAATATTTGGTTTAACAATTTTTAAATTTGATTCCTCCCTGTCCCATTCCTTCTGCCATAGATTTACGGTGATTTTATGAATTTCTTTTATCTGGTCATCTATCGTTGTTGGGATGCCAGTATCTATCTGTCGCATTTACCATGTTTGCTGCAGCATTAGCAGCGGCATCTGCTCGTTCATTACCCAAAATGTCAACATGTGCAGGAGTCCATAGTAATACGGCACTTTTATTTAAAGTTTGTAAGTACGTATTGAGACATAGGATACGCTTAACATATTCATTTATAGAGAATATATCTTCAATAGCAGTTATGGCACTTAAGGAATCTGTACAGACGACGCATTTGATTTTGTTTGAAAAAGAGAATAGAAGTAATGCCTGCCAAATGGCAAATAGTTCTGCTGTGAAAATGGAACAGCATCGTGGTAGAGTCCATGAATGACTTATAGTGTCTACAGTTATCGCAGCTCCAGTACCAATATTGTTTTTTGATCCATCTGTGAAAATTACTAGATGGTCTTTAAAACATTCGATTTCATTTTTAAAAATGTTACGAAAAATTGTCGGGTTTGTTTCGAAACCCCTACCTATGTTCGTAGTAGAGTTAAAGCAACAAGATAACAACAAAGAAATTTATAACACAAAAATATTACTAAATACAAGTGTCGTTGTAGAACCCCCGCACGTCAAAAGAATAATTCCACAATGTCTAAAATGCCAGCGCTTTGGGCACACCAAGAATTATTGCCAACATAACTCCAGATGCGTTAAATGTACGCAAGTCCATTCCACAGGAGAGTGTCCGAGAACAATTAAAGACGATAAAGTTCGGTGTGTTAACTGTCATGGCAACCACCCAGCCAACTACCGTGGCTGCCTAGTCCACAAACAATTGCAAGAAAGACTATACCCAAGATTAAGAAAAGATGACAAAAATCTTTACAAAAGACCTTACCTACATTCCGAAACAACGCCAGGGATATCATACGCAGACAAAGCAAAAAATCAAGACCTATCCATGCCCTTCACTACTACAGAAAACATACCGCAATATCAAGCGATCCAACCAAACCAACAAGCCAGTGGCATTGAAGAACTACAGAACATGATGAAAAATCTCATTACACAAATAGGGACTATCATGAACCTTCTCACAACACTAATCACTAAATTAACATAATGGCTCAATTACTAAAAATAGTAGCTTGGAACGCCAACGGGCTAGGCCAACGTGCCCAGGAAGTCAAAATATTTCTTGAAATTCATGCAGTCGATATACTCCTGATTTCTGAAACGCATTTTACCGCCAGGAGCTACATTAAATTTCCACACTACACTGTTTACTCAACAAATCACCCCGATGGTTCAGCCCATGGAGGAACCGCAGTAATTATCCGTAATCGCATTAAACATCACGAACTTGCAAAATATCAAGAAAATCATATCCAAGCTACCAACGTCTCCATTGAAATTGAAAAAATCCCAGCCATAATCTCAGCAGTATACTGTCCACCGAAACACCTAATCACTCCAGCAGCTTACACACATTTCTTCAAGACGCTAGGCAATAGGTTCATTGCAGTAGGAGACTACAATGCAAAACACGAACATTGGGGTTCCCGCCTAACAAGAACAGACGGACGTCGATTAATGACTGCCGTACAAACTAACAACCTTACCTGGTTATCCACGGGGGAGCCAACATACTGGCCCACTGACCGCCGAAAGAAACCAGATCTTCTTGACTTTGGTATTGTTAAGGGCATAAACATCCGGCAGTGTACCGTTTCATCCTGCTTTGACTTAGCAGCTGACCATTCGGCCATTATAGTAACTGTAAACTCACACATAACTCAGGTTAAAACTCAACCTGCAATTTTAGTAGACGAACTGATTGGGAATACTTTCGCCAAAGACTTGAATACCAATTAGATCTTCAGGTCCCACTAAAAGATGAGTACGACATTGAGAGAGCAGTAACCTCACTTACAGAACTCATCCAAAACGTAGCATGGGAAGCTACTCCTAAATTGCCCATCCCTCAACAAACTAACAATACACCTACCACAATAAAGGACAAAATAGCCGAAAAACGCCGACTCAGGAAACGATGGCAACTCACCAGATCGGACCTCGACAAACGAGAGTATAATAGGGCCAACAAAGATCTAAAAAAACTCCTTAGTCAACATAAAAATCAAGGAATACAGAACTACCTTGAAAATCTCAGCGCAAAAGAACAGTCAGACTATTCCCTGTGGAAAGCAACGCGAAGAATAAAAAGACCAACCCCACACGTAGCTCCTATTCAACAGGAAAACGGTATCTGGGCTCGGAGTAACAAAGGAAAGGCGGATGCCTTTGCTGAATATCTCACTAAAGTGTTTACACCCTTCCCTTGTCAACTCCCGGACGAAGAGGTCAAAATACAGGAATTCTTAGAGTCCCCGTTTCAAATGAGCCTTCCACTCAAGCCCTTTAGAATTAAAGAAGTAGAAGAAGAAATCAAAAAGATCAACACAAAGAAATCTCCAGGATACGACCTGATTGCTGGGACAGTTATCAAGCAACTACCAACTAAAGCTATACAAGCCCTTACACATCTCTACAATTCTATCCTCAGAATCCGGCACTTCCCAAGTCAATGGAAGACAGCGCAAATAATTATGGTTTTGAAACCTGGTAAATCACCTACGGAACTTACATCATACAGGCCCATAAGCCTACTACCCATTCTGTCCAAGGTACTTGAAAAACTGATTCTGAATAGATTAATGCCAATTCTAGATGACCAACAACTAATTCCTAAACATCAATTCGGGTTCCGTAAACAACATGGTACCGTGGAGCAGGTACACAGAATAACCGACAAGATATACAGAGACTTGGAGGGAAAAAGATACTGCTCCTCAGTGTTCTTGGATGTCAAACAAGCCTTTGATAGAGTTTGGCATCAAGGTTTATGCTATAAGCTCAAACTGTTCCTACCCTACCAGATGTTTGAACTACTAAAATCATACATCACAAACAGGCACTTTTTAATCAAATACAAAGATGAAAATACAAATTTACACCCCATCTCCTCCGGCGTACCGCAAGGCAGCGCTTTAGGCCCTATCCTATATTTAATATACACCGCTGACCTACCCACATCACGTCTAACAACATCAGCGACCTATGCAGACGATATGGCCATTTTGGCCTCTCATGTCAATCCACAAGCTGCCTCAAGATATCTCCAAGCTCACCTCAACAAAATCCAGTGGTGGGCCAAAAAATGGCGTATCAGAGTGAACGAAACTAAATCCCAACATGTAACCTACACAATGAGGAAAGAAAATTGCCCTCCAGTGAACTTCAACGGACACCAACTACCACACTCAGAGACGGTCAAATATCTGGGTCTACATATAGATAGGAAACTCACCTGGAGAACCCACATATTTACCAAGCGTAAGCAACTCGGCCTTCAACTACAAAAATTATATTGGCTTATCGGTAGAAAATCTAAACTATCATTGGAAAATAAAATACTAATTTACAAAATAGTTCTTAAACCAATATGGACTTACGGGATATCCCTATGGGGCACTGCAGCTACTTCCACCCTAGCAATGCTTGACCGGTTCCAAAATAAAGTACTGAGAATGATCGTTGATGCGCCATGGTACGTCCCAAATAAGGTGATTTTAAGTGATCTACAAATTCCCACAGTGAAAAGTGAAATTAAAAACTTCAGTGTAAGATACAAAGACAGACTGAGCGTTCACCCCAACGATTCTGTGCACCAGCTTATGGACAATAATGATGAACCCAGAAGACTTAAACGTTTCAAACCATCTGACTTACCTACAAGATTTGAACATAAACTGTAAACTGCTTTTGTCAAATACTATACCTATATTATCTTCATAGCATACATCACATATTAAAAATGTAAGGGGAGACTTCGATGGA